GAGAGAGAGAGAGAGAGAGAGAGAGAGAGAGAGAGAGAGAGAGAGAGAGAGAGAGAGAGAGAGATGAGCGATACAAGTTTGGCTGTTACGTACCTGTGAAGTGTGCCGTGCAGTCCCACGAAGAAGGAAATAACGGCCATAGCCGCGAAGCGTCACTACGGAATAACGAAGGAGGGTGAGAAAGGACAGAGCGGGAGAGAAGCCATAGCCGAGGGGAGGAAGAAGAAGAGGTGAACAAAAAAAAAAGGAGAAAGGAGACAGCAGGGTGAAAGGCGGCGAGGAAGGTGAAGCAAAGAAGGAGAGAAGCCGGCAGCCATAGCTGACCGAAGGATTGACCGGCGTTGACCGGGGGTTGACCGCAGCGTTGACCGGCGTTGACCAAGGCGTTGACCAAGACTTTGACCAAGCTGGAGCCGGTAAAATCTCGCCAAGCCTTCAGCTTATCCCTCGCCCTATGGATGTGCACACACCCTGTGGTACTTGTTGAGTCCAGTTAGTCTGTCTCTTCTTTCTGCATCGAGTCTCTTCTGTCCTAGGTGATAGTACTCTGTGGATGAAGGATAGGGCCTTGTTGACCAAACCCACACGGGCTGAGTAGGGCTAAAGTTGTGTCTGACGACTCGACTGTCCTGGAGGACACGAACCCTCCCAAGGACTGGTACTGACCGGCAGGCTGCTCGGTGTGGCACGGTAGGCCCAAAATCCGAGTTGTGGGCAAGGCTAGAGACCCTGGTTGGCAGGATCCCTGTCCGGATTCTGTGATTTGTCAGTCAGGGTTTAGAGTCTACGTGGTGAGGTTTGGAACCGCTAATCCGGTTGTGCACTGACACCATGGTTGAGACCCGTAGTGGGACGAGCACTAGCCCCTACACCCAGGAGCAGCAAGAGAAGATGGTCGCCTTAGTGAGAGAAAACAAAGAGAGGAAAGAGCTCCAGAAACAGGCGAAGCTAAAGGCTATTGCAGAGGAGCAGGCGGCAAAAATGAAGAAGTTGGAGGAGGAGATGAAGAGAGTACATAAGGAGGAGGAAGAGAGGAGAAAGGCTGCTGAGGAAGAAGCGGCAGCAGAAGAAGAAAAAGAGAGAATGCGCATTGAAAGTAGAGAGGGGAGTAGTGGCACGAAGAGGGATACAGACACAAAGATGGAGAAGAAGATAAGTGAGTGGGTTGCTAATTTATCATTGGGGGAAGACGAGGAGGCAGAGTCTTATGTGCCTCAGGATGAGAGAGATGCGTTAGCCAGGGAGCTAATGGCAATGGAGGACCCCATGGAACGGCGAGAAAGAGAAGAGGAGCAGAAGTTGGAATGGAAATTGAGAATGAAGAGGGAGAAGAAGAGAAGGAGGGAGGAAGTCAACAGGCTCACCGCAGAGGTGGCAAAGGTGCAGGACTGTAGGCAAGAAGTGGAGGCCCAGGCAAACGACAAGGCCAAATGGGATAAGGCGTTGGGGTACCTGGAGGTGCTGAGCGCGGCTTGGATGGAGGAGCGCCAAGCCAGTTGGAATCAAGAGGTAGCCTTGAGTGCCATGCGGTCGGGGTTTAGGGACTTCGCGCGCGATATGGTTATCCACGTTGGGGGAGAAGTCAGGAACAAGGTGCCATTGAAGGTGCCAAAGCGATAGCCGGAGGAGAGGGCGAGTCCAGACCCCGTAAAGAGCCCGTAAAGCTCAAGTTCCCAGATGCATACGGGGGAAAGAAGGAGGAGAACTTTGACATCTGGGAAGCCAGTGTCAACAGTTATGTGTATTTACAGCATATCCTGACAGAGGAGCAAGTCCTCGTAGCTTTCCAGGCCCTCAAAGATGAAGCGGCTAGTTTCGCCAGGTCCCTCGCGCGCCCAGCCGGTTGTGAAAACAACATGGTTGCATATTCCAAGATCACCACCCTTCCTCAATTCTTCAAAGTCTTGAGGGAGAGATTCGCTAACCCAACGAGAGGTGTTAGAGCCTCTGACAAGTATCATGGGGTCACTGAGACCCAGTTGGTCCAATTGTTTTATCGTACCATGCCCGAGCCCCTGCATGGGCACTTCTTTGACAAGTCTCAACAGGCCGGCATCACTTATGATGTGCTGAGTAGAGAAGTGGTCCTGTATGAGTCAAAGTCCATGCCAGTATCCACTTTCTGGCACAAGGACTTGGACAAAGGAAAAAGGTGGAAAGATCGTACCATCTCAGGCCAGGTAAGGGCCAAGGATCATATGATCCTTACCTTAGAGGAAGGTGGTACAGATGAGGTCCCGTATAGTCAAATTGACTGGGGCCTCGAGGAGGAGGACAGTAGCGTGGGGCAGGGGAGGTCCTATGCTGTTGTCGCGGCTGGAAGGAGGCCGCAAAGTAAAGGAGGAGGCCAAGGCCAAAGGGGCCAGGCCATGGGAGGCCGAGGACCGGGCGCACACGGGGTTGGCGGACAAGGGAACCGCCAAGTGGGAGGTAGGGGTCAAGGTCCCCCGCCAAATCGCCAGGGTTCTTGTCGGTCCCCACAGCGAAGAGGTGGAAGGCTGCCTCAAGGAGGATGGCACCCAGGCTTGCCACAGGGCAGGCCCTGGGAGGATTTGGGCTTGGACCAATGTTTATGGCAGGAATGCCTGGACTTGGGTCAGTGCGTGTTTTGTGGTGACCCGACCCACGTTATTAAATTGTCCCCTAAGTATAGACAGGCCCGTTGGGCTGCCCAACAGTCAAAAGGCAGCCGCCAGTAGGGGTCGCAACTGCCCCTACTTCAAGGCCATGAGGGGAAGCGAGCGCGCGCGAACAGGAAACTCCCAAACCACATGAGCCTATGGCAGAGGTTGCAGGCCCGTGCCTAGCTAGCTGTCCGGAGACTACGTGTGTTAGCGTCTCTTTAGCCACGTCCCTCACAGGCGTGGCAGAGGAGCTGAAGGAGAGGATGCCAGCCTGGGCCAAAATGAAGAAGGAGAGTAAGGGACAACTGATTTTAGTAGACGTAGAGGTGTTTAGAAGCAGAGTAGGAGCCCTTATAGACTCAGGGGCCACCCGTAGTTATATTAGCCGTAGAGCGTTGAAGAAGCTGAGGCTAGGATTAAAAGTCCAGAAGTTAGCAGACCCCATAGTCAGTGTCCTCGCAGACAGCCGCACGATGCGAGTTGAGGACTATGTAGAGGGAGTCCAGGCGTACTTTCGCCTAGAGAAGGATGGGAAGGTGGAGGAAGTTCTCCATTCCCTGACTCTCCTCGTTCAGGATGACCTTCCTTTTGACGTAGTATTAGGAATGGATTGGGGAGAGGCAGCAGGGGCCACACTCCACTTGAGAGAGCATGAGCGTAGGCTCCCTAGTCCATCAGGCGAGGTGAAGACTGCCCGCCTGTTCCATGTGTCAGGTGTAGACAACACCTTGGCACATTATTGTCTCAGTGCTCCCGCGTTCGCGCGACTAGTGAAAAAGGAGCAGTTAGAGGACCAGGTCTTTGTAGTTTATGTCAGACCTGTCACTGAGGCCAAGAAAGAAGACAGTTCCACAGATCCAACCATAGCCAGGCTGCTGGAGGAATTCAAAGACTTGACTGAGTCGCCGACAGGAGTAGTGCCGTGACCCATCCAGCACAGAATAGAGATAGAGGCCGGCAGTAGAACTCCTAAGGGAGCAGTTTACAGGATGTCCCCTAGAGAGTTAGAGGAGCTGCGCAAGCAGTTAGACGAGCTCCTCGAGAAAGGTTGGATTAGGCCCAGTTCGTCTCCTTTTGGAGCACCTGTCCTGTTTGTCCCCAAAAAGGAAGGAGAGCTGAGAATGCGTATAGACTACAGGGGTTTGAATGCGATTACTGTGAAGAATGTTGAACCACTGCCCAGGATAGACGATCTCTTAGATCGGGTGCAAGGTTGCAAATATTTTTCTAAGATAGATGTGAAGTCCGGATACCATCAGATAGAAGTCCACCCTGATGACCAGTATAAGACCGCGTTCCAGACTAGATATGGGCATTATGAGTTTATAGTGATGCCCTTTGGACTGACTAACGCGTCAGCGACATTTCAGCGATGTATGAACGATCTGTTTAGGCCGTGGTTAGACAAGTTTGTAGTAGTTTATTTAGATGATATCTTAGTTTTCAGTAAGACCCTCCAGGAGCATCAGGGTGATCCAAGGCAGGTCTTGGAGAAGCTAAGAGAGGCTAGCTTCAAGATCAACCCGAAGAAGTGCGAGTGGGCCAAGACACAAGTCCTGTACTTGGGCCACGGGGATGGCATTAAGCCAGAGGACATCAAGATAGCGACAATTCGAGACTGGCGGACGCCCCGCACGTTGACAGAGTTGCGGTCGTTTTTAGGCCTAGCCAACTACTATAGGAAGTTTGTGAGGAACTTCTCTACCATCGCCGCTCCCTTGCGCAGGTTGCTAAAGAAAGAGGCAATCTGGGAATGGGATAAAGACTGTACGTCTGCGCTAAAGAGATTAAAGTGCGCGTTAATAGAGTATCCTGTCCTCAAGGTAGTTGATCCGTCCTTGCCATTTGTCGTCACCACGGACGCGAGTCAGTATGGTATAGGCGCCGTGTTGCAGCAAGACGACGACAATGGCTATAGACCCATAGAGTTCATGTCAGCGAGGATGCGCTCAGAGAAGGTAGCCACCTCGACGTATGAGAGAGAACTCTACGCTCTCAGGCAGGCTCTAGAGCACTGGAAGCATTACCTGCTTGGGAGGCACTTCAAAGTGTATTATGACCATGAAACGCTTAGATGGTTAAAGACCCAGGCCAAGATGACACCTAAGTTAACTAGGTGGGCCGCTGAGATAGACCAGTATGACTTTGAGCTTAAGCCCGTGAAGGGCAAGTACAACGTAGTTGCGGATGCTCTGAGTAGGAGATCAGACTACTTTGGATCCATAGTACACTATCTGGATATAGGGAGAGACCTGCAGGAGAAAGTAAGGCAAGCAAGCGTATGTGCAAGACCCTATCTATAATGACCTCCTGAAGAGAGTTAAGGAGGCCCCAGAGACCGAACCACACTACCGCGCTACAAAAGGATTGTTGTTTGAGAAGACGGATGTATTCGACCGACTATGCGTTCCCAATAGTGAGGAAATCCGCAGTCTGATCCTAGGGGAATGGCATGACACAGAGGGACACTTCGGGTGGCAGAAGACATTAGCCAATCTGGTGCGTGCGTACACCTGGACAGGGATGAAGAATGACTGCATATAGTATGTTCGCAGTTGTAAAGTGTGCTAGAGGAATAAGACTACTACACGCGCAGGTCTTCTCAGACCGCTGCCTATTCCTGATCAACCTGGAGACTCAGTGTCCATAGACTTCATGGATACTCAGGTCAAGAGTAGGCATGGCAAGAGCCAAGTCATGGTCATAGTTGACCGTTTTAGCAAGTATGCCGTTTGTGTTCCTTTGCCTGCAGAGGCACGCACATAATTAGTTATTCAGAAGTTTTTTTTATCATTGGGTTAGTGAGAACGGAGTCCCATTATCCATAGTTAGCGATAGAGATACTCGTTTCACCAGCCAGAACTGGCAAGAACTCATGAGAGTCTACGGATCAAAGTTGTTAATGTCATCTGGCCGTCATCCAGAGACCAACGGTCAGACAGAACAGATGAACAAGATCCTACAGCAAGTTCTGCGCATGTACATTAGACCTGGTCAGGTCAACTGGGATGAGATGTTGCCTAAGGTAGCTAGTGCGTACAACAACAGCGTGCATCTATCAACCTGTCGCACTCCCAATGAACTGCACAAGTCCTTTGGACCACGCAGACCGTTCGAAGGACTGAACCGGGATCAGATTCACAGACTACCGCCCGGTACCAGGGAGTTCGCAGTACAGCACGAGAAAGAACTAGCAACTATTGTCGAGAACCTCAGGAAGGCCCAACACAGAATGATAGAACAGGCCAATAACCACCGTCGCCGATCGCAGTTTCAGGTAGGCGACTAAGTCTGGGTCAAGTCTAAAGAGTTTGCACCTGAGGAGCACATCTCGCAGAAGTTGCTGCCTGCCTATAGAGGACCGTGGCCAGTGCTAGAAGTCAAGGGCGGAGAGGATGGACCGTCCTACACTATCGAGATTCCAGCACACCTCCACACATACCCTGTTTTCCATGCTTCAAAGCTGTTGCCGTGTGTCACAAGTCAACAGTTCCCTTCAAGAAGATCCATGATCCCCCCGGATATGGACGAAAGTTATGACATTGACGGCATTGTAGATGAGGATGTGTTCAGAACAGGAGGTAGAGGTCGTCCCCAAAAACAGTATAAGGTCCGGTTTGCTTATCAGGAACCGGAAGACAACCGCTGGTTTACAAGGACATAACTTCTAGAAACAGCTCCCGACATAGTCAGAGCCTATGAGCGTGATAAGAAGGGTAAAGGTCCTGCCTTGGACTGAAATATTCTCGGAGGACCTCGAATTTAGGACGGCGGGAGTGAAACGGTTTTCACCTCTTTGCAGTAGCAGACACAGACCCCAGGGTTCGATCCCTAGACCTTGCCCTACCTGTGTACAGTATCTGTGTAGACCCCGAGAGTTGACCCTGTGACCTGTGTTGTTCGCAAACAGTTGATAGGCTGTCATAGGTCCGTAGGTAGCCGAGGGGTTCGATCTGTAGATCTGTAGGATAGAAGTCTTAGCGAGTTCCAAAAGTCTTAGTTGTAGTCCTTCTAGAAGGTCAGCA